GCATTCCTGGCCTGGGGAAGGTTACAGCAGGGGTACCCCTGGGGGCTGTGGGATCCCCAGACCCTCTGCAGTTGAGGTTTTTGCCCCGGAGTTCCTGTCCATCCTGGGGAGGATGAGCACCCTCTCTGCTGTGGGGGGAGCTGGTGCAGGATTTGGCATGGATCAGGCACACGGTGATATCGTCCCGCCTGGGGACCAAGGTTGATGTTGGAATTGATGATCTTAAGGGTCTTTTCCAATCTAAATTATTCTGTGATTCCATTCTAGGCCATTTGGCATTTGTGGTGGCCAGCAGAGAGCAGCCCCTATCAGCCTGCTGTTGGTTGAGACACAGTGCCGTGTCCCCAGGCTGCTGTGCCGGGAATTGGAGTGGTGCTGGGGATGCTGTTCCAGACTCTCCTTGCTGACAGTTACGTCTCTGTGGTCTGTGCTGTGGAAACGTGTGTGTTGGTGGATTCTGTCATTGCCAGTCTTCCCCTCTTCCAGTGTTCATCTGGCCTGCCAGTATATTTCTCCCTGGACATGTTCTCCTGTGTGTTGATCAGCTCTGTGGGTGAAGCTGCCCCATGCCTTCCCCTTGCTGCTGGTGTGCAGTGACTGTGCACAGTGCCCAGTGCCCTTGACGGGATTCTCTGAGAAAGCACTTGCTTTCAGAATTGCCTGGCAGTACTGTTTTGTTTCTTTGTGAAGAGCTCCTCTTGCTTTCTTCTTATGCAAGTAGCTGGTAAGTGAGAAAAACATCAGTTTGCAACACAATCTTTAAGGAAGGAGTGGTGATGGGCAAAGGGGTGACTCTGAGAGTGCAGACATGCAGAAAAGGGGATGGGGGGGTGTGTGTGTATGTGCACCATCTGTGTGCACTGGCTGAGAGTGTCCCGTGGCACGTCCTGGCAAGGCACAGGGAGGCTGAGTTGTCTCAGGGCTGGGTTTAGACATCCCAGCTTTTCCCATTTCATGAGTAGGGCGTAAGACATCTGCCTGTGGCAACTCCTTTGTGACTGAAGGCAAGTCCTTACTTTCAGAGGTATGTGTAACCTAACTGTGAGCATCTCCTTTTAGACACACAAATCATTTCCTCAGTGCCTAATTAAGGCCTCAGGGGTTGGGTATCCAGTGGTGCTTAAGAGATAACTACACTCAGTGGAGCTATTGTGAACAGTAAATGGTGTGGAATAACAGTGACCCAGAAAAGTCAAATCACAAATTTCTCAAGTTATGCAAAATTATGACAACTTTTTCGAGAAATGAGGCAAAAGTAAGTTTTGACCTTACCATATCTTGTGCTCAGCTCTTAGTAAAATACAGATTATGAATATTTTCCTTTCGGAAATGTGAAATGAGATGAAATGGATGCACTCTGTTTATTTAACAGGATTTGGGTCACAGCAGAACAAATTAACTGGAAAGCATTGTTCAGAGGACTGGCATAGTTCTGGTGAATGTTAATGTGTCACAGGGATTATGCGAGGTAAGAATATACTGGAATCTGCAAGTATTCACTTGTTTATTGTTTAGGTGCCTATTGATGCAGGGAAATGCCTATTATGATATCATATGTATATAGTATTAATGATGATACTAAATTATTATAGTAATATATTGGTATATTATAGTGCTTATTATTGTATTGTATTATAATCCTGATTACAGGTATTGGGATTTGTATTTTCTCTGAAAGCTACGTTTAACTTTTCTTTTTCAAGTGAGGGCTTTTCTTAACAAATTCACTTTGTTTATCATTAGTTTTGTGGGGTTTTTTTTCTTTGATTGCCTTAAAATTCCACAGAAAATTCAATTTTGCCTAATTTTAATATCTGCAAGATGCAAGCCCTGATCTACAAGCAAAAGGAGGCCTGTCAAACCTGCTTCTGCAGGCCCTCATAAATCCACCCACAGAGCGTAAGGGGCAATTATCAGATGAAGAGGAGAAATGTGTATGTACATTTTTAAGCAGGCAATGGAGTTTTATTTGCAGTGTTAATGCAAAATGTGGCACATTGGTAATGCGTGCACTCCTTTGGTGCATGGACAGTGGACTCGGCTTAATGTGTTGAGAGAGGGGGCTTCCTACAAACAGGTACCTTGGCAGACATGTTGGAGGGATTGATGTGAGACAGTGGTGTCCCTAAGGTCACTACTTTGTGTGTAGCTCATGATGTTCCTGCCATTTCTAAGGGCTGCCTCCACAGCACTGGAGGTGGTGGGAGTGTTCCACATTTTCGCTGTGGCTGTGCCTTCGTAGTCTATTTCTGCACTCACTAATAATGACCACTATTTAAGGCACACACAGAATATATTATCTTAAGCCTTCAGGTGTGAGCCAGCTGTCCACTAACCTGAATCACACTGACGCCCTGTATTCTGAGATCTTGCTGCCAAAAGAGAGCATTTCAGCTATGGCTTTGCCGTATTTCTTGGCTTTAGTTCCACCTGAGAAGCAGGAAGCCCCCTCTGCAACAGTTCCTGGGTGGTGTGTGATGAGCAGGGCCGGGTTCGTAAGTATTGAAACAAACCTGTGTTTCAAAAGAACAAGCAAGCACAGATGGGATGTGCCTGACATGGTATTGAGTGCCTGCGGCATAGATGTGTTCCCCAAGTTAGTTGTTTATTCTCCTCTTACAGGCCATGGAGACACGTGCATCTCTTGCAGGTGCTGCCCTGAGAAGAGATAACTGACATCCAAGAAGCGTCTGCTTCTCTAGTAAGGATGAACAGTTATTGCAGCCGGGACTTTTGCAGTCTCCTCTTACGATGGTGACTCCTGAAGATGAAAATGTGACCTATTGCAACAAGATTTTGAGAACGAGGCATCAGTTCAGGCCAGTAACTCTTCTTTGCTATGAGGGGTGAGACAAGCAGCTAAAGATGGCCCTGCACTGGAGCATTTCTGATGGTGATGGGATATCCAGGAGCTTGGCTAAGACCATGCGAAAAAGAGTCTGGCAGCTCTGTGGGCTCACTGCCACCACACCACTGGGCAGCACTGCAGAGAAAACATGGTGCCTTTATTGTTCCCGGTATTGCATATCACCACATGGTATTTACACTTAATGCCCATCTCGGTCATATCATGGTGGGTGGGTTTGAGCTCATACTCTTCCAACTGTTGCCTACTCCAAATGCCTTCCCCACACCCCAA